TTTTTTTGAGACGGAGTTTCACTCTTGTTACCCAGGCTGGAGTGCAATGGCGCGATCTCGGCTCACCGCAACCTCCGCCTCCTGGGTTCAGGCAATTCTCCTGCCTCAGCCTCCCGAGTAACTGGGACTATAGGCACGTGCCACCATGCCCAGCTGATTTTTTGTATTTGTAGTAGAGACGGGGTTTCACCATATTGACCAGGATGGTCTCGATCTCTTGACCTCGTGATCCACCCGCCTCGACCTCCCAAAGTGCTGGGATTACAGGCGTGAGCCACCGCGCCCGGCCGATTCTGTATTTTTAGTAGATACGGGATTTCTCCATGTTGGTCAGGCTATTCTTGAACTCCCAACCTCAGGTGATCCACCTGCCTCAGCCCCCCAAAGTGCTGGGATTATAGGCATGAGCCACCGTGCCCAGCCAACAGCTCAAATTTCAACCACTGCCTCCCTGCAATGGCTTTGGCACTGCTGGTAACGAGAGTGCTTCTCCCCTGCCACTGTGCGTTCAAGGTGTGGCCTCAGAGTGCTTGCAAAATCAGGTCTGACCTGGCCCAGCACTGGGAGGGGGCAGCTCCCAAGGAGCTGGGGCGCCTTGTCTGGGATGGCTTCAGGAGCCGAGAAAGGCGCTGGCTCCCTAACTGACCCGCTGAGCTCTGGTTTGGAGTTACTTGTATATATACTGAGATGTCTCGAGGGACACACAGACATTGGAAGACAGGTTGGAGCTAGAGAGACTAACGTGTGTGTGTGTGTGTGTGTGTGTGTGTGTGTGTGTGTGTGTACACATCTTTTAAAGTGTTATACCAGCCAGGCGCAGTAGCTCATGCCTGCAATCCCAATGCTTTGGGAGGTGGGAGGCCAAGGTAGGAGACTCTAGTCCAGGAGTTTGAGACCAGCCTGGGTAACCAGGGTCGAGTGGCTGGGGTGACTAGAGACCCCATCTATACAAAAAGTAAAAACAAATTAGCCAAGCATGATGGTGTGTGCCTGTGGTCCCAGCGGCTTGGGAGGCTGAGGTGGGAGGATCCTTGAACTCTGGTGGTTGAGGCTGCAGTGAGCTGTGATTTTGCCACTGCCCTCTAGCCTGGGTGACAGAGCAAGACCCTGTCTCAAAAAAGGAAATTATATAATTAATCTATTCAAAACTACTAAATAATTTTTTTTTTTGAGGCAGAGTCTCACTCTCTCACCCAGGTGGAGTGTAGTGGTGCCCAGTGCAACCTTCACCTCCCGGGTTCAAGTGATTCTCCTGCCTCAGTCTCCAAAGTAGCTGGGGTTGCAGGCATCCAGCACCATGCCTGGCTAATTTTTGTTTTTTTTAGTAGAGAAAGGGTTTCGCCATGTTGGCCAGGCTGGTCTTGAACTCTTGACCTCAGGTGATCCACCCTCCTAGGCCTCCCAATACTAAGTAAAATTTTTAAGATCAAATAGTAATACGAGTGATTTTTGAGTTCTCATAGAGTAGGGCTCACAGTAGGTTCTCAGGTCACGAGGCTATCTCTAGGATCCCTTAGAGGGCCCCTCAGGGTCCTCTCTGACAACTGTTCCTTCTTGGGTCCTGGCTGGAGATCTCCGCCACCCCCAGACTCAGCAGAGCCACTCCAGGACTCAGGGCGTGGCTGGCTTTGGGCCAGCCCACCTCTCCAGATCCAAGGCAGGTCTCCTATCTCAGCAATCAAATGGTGCTCTGCCTCCGGCCCTGTCTGGAGACCCTGCTCACCAGCCACGGGCGGTTTAGGCCGACCTCCCCGCCTCCTCCTCAGCGCAGACACAGCCTATAAAACCACCCGGTGTGTGCTTGCCGACCCTAGCCCCTCCCTGGACACCCAGACCACAATGGCAGAACTGCCCGCCACAGAGACGCCTGGGGACCCCACTCTGTGCAGTGGGCGCTTCACCATCAGCACGCTGCTGAGCAGTGATGAGCCCTCACCACCAGCTGCCTACAACAGCAGCCACCCCAGCCACCTGACCCACAGCAGCACCTTCTGCATGCGCACCTTTGGCTACAACACCATCGACGTGGTGCCCGCGTACGATCATTATGCCAACAGCACCCAGCCTGGTGAGCCCCGGAAGGTCCGGCCCACACTGGCTGACCTGCACTCCTTCCTCAAGGTAAGTGCTGTCTTAGAAGACCAGCCACTTTCCTGCTGTGTGATCTCGACCCAGTTGCCTAGCCTCTCTGAGCCTCGGTCTGTTGTCTGCACTGTGGAGATGGAGGAGCGTCTTCCTCCTGGGTGGAGAGGCCCCTGTGAAATAGTGGAGCTGCAGAACTCTGGGCACATGTTGGAATTTGTATTAGCCGAACACTAGCACCCCAGAGGTAGAGTGGGAGGCCCAGAGAGGCAATGAGCTTCCAGTGAGTAGAGGCATGCAAGCAGGTTGCACACCCCTGAAAGAGACAGGGAAAGAAGGGCCTGGGAAGGTCCACCTCAGAGAGGGGGCTAGCCGGGTTTGCTGCCTGGGAGGCCAGACTGTGAAGAGTGGAGGGCTGGAAGCTGGATCATCATGACCCCTGTGGGGCCTCACTTTTCCTATATGACAATTGGGCAGAATTGTTCTTTCTTTCTTTATTTTTTGAGATGGAGTCTGGCTCTGTTGTCCAGGCTGGAGTACAGTGGTGCGATCTCGGCTCACTGCAACCTCCACCTCCTGGGTTCAAGCGATTCTCCTGCCTCAGCCCCCTGAGTAGCTGCGACTAAAGGCGCACACCACCACGCCCAGCTATTTTTTGTATTTTTAGTAGAGACAGGATTTCACTATGTAGGCCAGGCTGGTCTCGAACTCCTGACTTCAAATGATCTGCCCACCTTGGCCTCCCAAAGTGCTGGGATTACAGACGTGAGCCACTGCACCTGGCCCAGAATTGTTCTTGATACTGGGGCTGAGACTTATTAAATTCACAGGACTCTTCCCTACCTTAGAGCAAACCAAAACATGGCCCTTTCTCCATACTGAGATGAAGTGGCAGGAAGAAAGCCCCAGAGGAGGGAGTCAGTCACTTGGGGCACAAACCAGGAGACCTCCCAGTGCCGCAGAGGTAGAGCCTGGTTTCAAGAGCCAGCCCTCCAGGGACCAACTGTGTGGCCTTGGACAAGCTTTAACTTCTCCAGGGTGATAATAATCCCGTCCCCCGATATAAAGCTGGGTAACTGCCTAATTAGTTCCAAGGCCACTGCTCTCCCAGGGGGAGACGCTGTTATGAAACCGAGCACCCAAGGCCCCTCGGCTCACTGCAGCCTCCACCTCCTGGCTTCAAGAGGTGGATCCTCCTATGTCAGCCTCCCAAGTAGCTGGGACTACAGGTGCACACCACCATGCCTGGCTAATTTTTGTATTTCTTAGTAGAGACAGGGTTTCACTTTGTTGCCTAGTCTGGTCTTGAACTCTTGAGCTCAAACGGTCCACTGACGTTGGTCTCCCAAAGTGCTGGGACTACAGGTGTGAGCCACCATGCTCGGCCTGGGGAGCATTTTATTTATTTATTTTTATTATTTATTTATTTGTTTTTTTTGAGACGGAGTTTCACTCTTGTTACCCAGGCTGGAGTGCAATGGCGCGATCTCGGCTCACCGCAACCTCCGCCTCCTGGGTTCAGGCAATTCTCCTGCCTCAGCCTCCTCAGTAGCTGGGATTACAGGCACGCACCACCATGCCCAGCTAATGTTTTGTATTTTTAGTAGAGACGGGGTTTCACCATGTTGACCAGGATGGTCTCGATCTCTTGACCTCGTGATCCACCCGCCTCAGCCTCCCAAAGTGCTGGGATTACAGGCTTGAGCCACCGCGCCCGACCTGGGGAACATTTTAAAAGCCCCTCAAGCAGCTCTACACCCTGTGAGCTGAGGGGTCAGGGGGTGCCCAGTATGGAGTACAGTGGTACAGATCAGTGAGCTGGACGCAGAGATGCCGTCCCTAGCAATGCTACCTGCCTGACTCGTGGTCTCTTGGCTGCCAGCAGGAAGGCAGACACCTGCATGCCCTGGCCTTTGACAGCCGGCCCAGCCACGAGATGACCGACGGGCTGGTGGAAGACGAGGCAGGCACCAGCAGCGAGAAGAACCCTGAAGAGCCTGTGCGCTTCGGCTGGGTCAAGGGGGTGATGGTGAGTGGGGTGTGGGTAGGTGCTTGATGTCCAGAAATGGGAGGGGAGGCAGAGCTCCATCCAGGCTCAGCTCTGACTCTCAAGCCCTGGTGGGACTTCAGTTTCCCCATCTGTACAGTGAATTCAATGAGTTAATAAATCAATAGATAATAGATCAATGCCTGCCAGGGAGTTATTAGAAGAAACTGTGTTTCCCTAAAAAGCCACCAGGGGGCTGCACTAAACGCCGAAATCCGTGAACGTGTTTTTCCCCTTCATGAAGGGAAGAAAAAGGTTTGCTGTAGTGTGGAGCAGGATTAAGTCTCCAGACAGCAAAGAATCAAGTACACTTGGCTTTGGAGACATTATGGGACTTTACGGAGGGGAATTCATGGGATGTTGAAGGCATTAGCCCTACTCTGGGAGGCAGGAGGCTGGGGTTCTGATCTTAACTGCCAACTGGCTGTGCCTCCATTTCTTCCTCTGAACCTTGAGCCCCTCCTGATCCCCGGAGTCTCATATTCAGAGCTGGGATCTCTCTCCCGGGCTGTGTTGTCAGAGCTCGGAACGGCCCTGAAACTTGGTGGGGCCAGCGACCACCCCAGCCCCTCCCGGTTGGAAGCTTCAGCCTCCATTTCGGCTTCTGGCTTCGCTTTAAATTTGGAAGCTGAAGTCACAGCCACCTGAGCTCTGATATCTGCTCATACATGGGGCACTGGCTCAGCTGGCATTTGCTGAGCTCCCTGTAAATGCCAGGCTCTGGGTCAACTGCCGGCCACTCGGGCCATGATGGGGGCTGGCAGACACAAGATCCCGGGCTTGGGATGGATAGAGTGATGGGGGACAGTGCTCATAGCCCAGTGTCAGGCCTCAGTGGGAGGACAGGAAAGTAGGTGAGAGGGACAGGTGGGTCTCCGGGTGCCTCTCACCCTCCTGCCCCATAGAACCAGACTCAGAACCTATTGAAGTGGGTGAAGAAGGGACGCAGGTGTCCCCAGGGCCTAGGTACTCGAAACCCTGCCATAGCCAGGGACAGGGACCTGTGCATTTAGCCTTGGGGTGTACACTCAGGTGGCCTCTGACCCCCCTCTCCTCGCAGATCCGTTGCATGCTCAACATTTGGGGCGTGATCCTCTACCTGCGGCTGCCCTGGATTACGGCCCAGGCAGGCATCGGTGAGTACCCCTCTGGGGTAGAGGAGGGAGGGCATGCTCGAACCCTGTTCTTCTCAGGCCCCGAGGGTGCAGGATTAAACCTGAGCTGCACAGACCAAGGGCCAGGCCTGCTCCTCCCTGGTGCAGCCTCGGTCCCCTGCAGCGACAGAGGCATGCTGTCAAGGTGGCACGGAGAGGCACGCTGGACGTGGTGTCAGCAGGTATAAGGGCTGTTTGCCCTCGGTAAGCCACTTAACCTCTCGAAGCCCATTTCTATCCCAAAGCATGCAGGTTAGAAAGCTGCACTCTGGCCAGGCACTGTGGCTCACGCCTGTAATCCCAGCGCCTTGGGAGGCCAAGGCAAGTGGATCACGAGGTCAGGAGTTCAAGACCAGCCTGGCCAAGATGGTGAAACCCTGTATCTACTAAAAATATAAAAAATGGCAGGCACCTGTAATCCCAGCTATTTGGGAGGCTGAGGCAGGAGAATCATTTGAACCCACGAGGTGGAGGTTGCAGTGAGCCAAGATCATACCACTGCACTCCAGCCTGGGTGACAGAGTGAGACTCCTGTCTCAAAAATAAAAATAAAAATAAATTAAGCTGCATTCTGGACAGAACAGTGCTCAGATGCTAGCTCTGTACCCCGCTGTGTGACTTTGGGCAAGTTTCTTAACCTCTCTGAGCCCTGGATTCCTCATTAGGAAAATGGGGGTGATAACAGAACCTACCTCACAGAGCCGTTGTGGGATTTATATGAGGCAGGTAAAAACACAGCACGGATTTGGCTTCCAGAGGTGATCATGGTGTGGAACTGCTACTTAATATTTTTATTTAAAAAAAGGTGGCTTCCCCTCCATACCTAACAATCCCAGAGATGCTAGTTCAAGGGCTCCCTGGCTATTCGGAGCATGCCAGGAGATAGATAGACACCCATTTTTCAGATGAGAAAACAGGCTCAGAGAAGGGAGGTGAACTTAGGCGGCATGGTGAATGAGTAGGCAAGCGGCTCCTCCCCCCGGGAAATGCCCTGACTACCTTTGGGTGTCCCCGCAGTCCTGACCTGGATCATCATCCTGTTGTCGGTCACGGTGACCTCCATCACAGGCCTCTCCATCTCGGCCATCTCCACCAACGGCAAGGTCAAGTCAGGTGGGCCATCCCCCTTCCCACCAAGGCCCTCCTCTCGTGGGCTCCTCATCCTGGGAACAGGACTGCAGACTGCCCCAACCCAATGGGATACCCCAGCCGCTCCTGTGATTCCGGGACAGGGCTGTAGACAGGCTGTCTACACCATGAGATGGCCTTGGCTGTCTCCGACTCCATGGGTCCCTTGGCCACTCTCTCCTGGCCTCTGCCTTCCCGAATCTGCCCCAGCCAACCGACCCCTCTGGTTTCATGCTTCCTGGCTCTGCCCTCATAGGTGGCACCTACTTCCTCATCTCCCGGAGTCTGGGCCCAGAGCTCGGGGGCTCCATCGGCCTCATTTTTGCTTTCGCCAACGCCGTGGGTGTGGCCATGCACACTGTGGGCTTTGCAGAGACCGTGCGGGACCTGCTCCAGGTGAGGCTGGGGGCTGGACCCTGGGTAGAGGGATCCGGCAGCCCACTGCACTCTCCTCCCCGCTATCTGGGCTGGGCCCACCTGCTCCCTGCCTGACCTCACCTATCAGCAACCACAGCCTGATCACTGTGGGTGAGAGTGACAGTCTCATCAAATAGAGACCATTCCTTTCCCACAAGTCCCCTTTGGGGGTGTGTGTTGCCTTTAGGGCCACGTTGTCCAGGCCCGTGAAGCAGCTGCTTTGGGGACTCGATGGCAGGGGTGGTGCTTGAGTTAGCTCCGTCTTAGCAGAGCGCACCCCACAGGAGGTGCCTCCTGGGTGGGCGGAGTCTGGGGGGGTGGGGAGTTCAGAGCGTGGCTTCCAGCCTGGCTCATTTTCCCTCCCCAGGAGTATGGGACACCCATCGTGGACCCCACTAATGACATCCGCATCATCGGCGTGGTCTCCGTCACTGTGCTGTTGGCCATCTCCCTGGCTGGCATGGAGTGGGAGTCCAAGGTGAGGAGGACATGGAGGAGGGGGACACAGAGGTGGTCACATGGAGACTCGGGGGTCTCCAGGCCTGGGCCCTCCCTGGCCCTCTGCCTTTTCTTTTCTTTTTTCTTTTCTTTTCTTTTACTTTTTCTTTTTTTTTGAGACAGAATCTTGCTTCGCACCCAGGCTGGAGTGCAGTGGCATGATCTTGGCTCACTGCAACCTCTGCCTGCCAGGTTCAAGTGATTCTTGAGCCTCAGCCTCCTGAGTAGCTGGGATTACAGGCAACGCCACCATACCTGGCTAATTTTGGTATTTTTTATAGAGACAGGGTTTCACCATGTTGGCCAGGCAGGTCTCAAACTCCTGACATCAGGTGATCCGCCCACCTCAGCCTCCCAAATCTCTTTTTTTTCTGAGACAGAGTCTCCCTCTTGTTGCCCAGGCTGGAGTACAGTGGTGCAATCTCGATTCTCAAGGTTCAAGCGATTCTCCTGCCTCAGTCTCCTCAGTGGCTGGGATCACAGGCGTGTGCCCACCACCGTGCCTGGCTAATTTTGTATTTTTAGTAGAGGCGGGGTTTGATCATGCTGCCCAGGCTGGTCTTGAACTCCTGACCTCAGATGATCCACCTGCCTTGGCCTCCCAAAGTGCTGGGATTACAGGCATGAGCCACCGCCTCCAGCCCAAAGCTCTTCTTACTTTAAATTCATCTTCCTTATTTATCAGCCAAGACAAGAGGCTTTGGTGGTCTTGTTCTCTGCTATATTCCCAGCTCCTTGAACAGAGCCTGCTGTATAATGTGTGATGAATGAATGAGTGAGTGAATAACAGGGTCTGGGCAAATCATTTTCTGGTGGGGCTTCCCAAAGAGGTAGAACCAGAATAATTGACCTGTGGGGTCCTTCGTCCCCCAGGCCCAGGTGCTGTTCTTCCTTGTCATCATGGTCTCCTTTGCCAACTACTTGGTGGGGACGCTGATCCCCCCATCTGAGGACAAGGCCTCCAAAGGCTTCTTCAGCTACCGGGGTATGTGCAGACCGGGGCCCTGACCATGGCTCTGGGGACAGGGAGTGTCTGCCCAGGAATCTGGCCCATGGTGTGGACACTGGGAGGTTGGGATTCCCCAATCCCATGATCAGGGGCTGCCTGCCCAGTGGGTCCCACCGAGCGGGGTCAAGCCCTCCACGTGAGCCTTACTCAGGCCTTGCTTTTGCAGGGGACATTTTTGTCCAGAACTTGGTGCCTGACTGGCGGGGCCCAGATGGCACCTTCTTTGGAATGTTCTCCATCTTCTTCCCCTCAGCCACGGGCATCCTCGCAGGGGCCAACATCTCCGGTGACCTCAAGGTGAGAAGAATGCCCATCCATCCCATGTCCCAGCACTGCAGGGGGCAGTGAGCAGAATCCTGCTCCCTGCTCTACTGACATCTGCCTCTGGGCACTGAGACCCAGGAGGCAGGGCCTCTAAAATCCAGTCCAGTCCTACTCAGCTCAGTTCAACCCAGTCCAACCAATTCTATTCCATTCTGCGGTTGTTTATGAAGATCAGCTGCATTCTAGGTTTTGAGGGGCACCGCAAAATGGCTAGGCTCCTCCCTAGTTTCCAGAACTGTCAGCCTTAGGGGAAGACTGGCCCAGCTGTGACCTTAAGAACTCAGCCTTGCTCACGCACATCTTCGCTGGGCTGACATCCTCCCAGGGCTCTCCATTGCCTTGCTGCAGGCAGGCTTCTTAGCTCGGCATTCAAGGCTCCAGCCCGTCTGTCCAGCCTCACCCCTGACCAGTGCCACCCTTATGAGCCTGCTTCAGCCCTGAGACTGCTGCTTTGCCCACGTTACCCTGTCCCTCCTCCACGCCTTCGCCTATGCTGCGCTCTCTACCTGCAATTCCCTATACTGGCTTTTTTTACCCTCAAAGTTCTGTTCTGCTTCTCTTTCTTTTTTTTTTTTCTTTCTTTTTCTTCTTCTTTTTTTTTTTTTTTTGAAACAGAGTTTACCTCTTTTTGCCCAGGCTGGAGCAGTGGTGTAATCTCGGCTCACTGCAACCTCTGCTTCCCGGATTCAAGCGATTCTCCTGCCTCAGCCTCCCAAGTAGCTGGGATTACAGGGATACGCCACCACAGCCTGGCTAATTTTTATATGTTTTAGTAGAGACGGGGTTTCACTATGTTGGCCAGGCTGGTCTCCAACTTCTGACCTAAAGTGATCCACCCGCCTTGGCTTCCCAGGAGTGCTGGAATTACAGGCGTGAGCCACGGTGCCGGGCCTTTTTTTTTTTTGAGATGACCTCTCACTCTCTCCCAGGCTGAAGGGCAGTGCAGTGGCGTGATCTCAGCTCACTGCAACCTCCGCCTCCCAGGTTCAAGTGATTCTCGTGCTTCAGCCTCCAGAGTAGCTAGAACTACAGGCACCTGCCACTATGCCTGGCTAATGTTTGTATTTTTAATAGTGACGGGGGTTTCACCATGTTGGCCGGGCTGGTCTCGAACTCCTGACCTCAAGTGATCTGCCCTCCCAAAGTTCTGGGATTACAGGCATGAGCCACTGCACCTGGCCTGTTTCAAATACCTCCTTCAACTATCATCTCTACCAGCCCTTCCTTCAGCGCCATGGTTTCCCCAGCAAAATGATGTCTGGCCAAACATATCTGTTGCCCAGCATCTGGAGAACTGAGGCTTGCCTGCATCTCTCTATTCCCTCCCAGCTCGGAGCCTGGCGCATACTAGGTGCTCCGTACATGATTGGTGACTGAATTGTGGTGAAATGCAGTGTTTGAGCAGTGGCACAAAGTGCTGCATCGTGGGGGAGGAGAGACTAATGTTGGCAGGGGCTCCAGCAGAATTTCTGGGTGCAGGAGGCTCCAGAGCTGGGTTTTGAAAGATGGGAAGCCGGTGGAGGCTTTGCTCAAAGGAGGTGGCAGGCAAGCAAGGGTGATGAGTGGGGAGCTAGCCCCCTGCTGGACACCACAGCTAACCCCCACCCTCAACTTCCAGTCACTCCTTGACGCATTTTCTTAAGCGAAGTAAGAACTGTGCATTGGGCCAGGCACAGCGGCTCATCCGTATAATCCCAGTACTTTGGGAGACTGGGACAGGTGGATCACTTGAGGTCAGGAGGTCGAGACCAGCCCGGCCAATATGGTGAAACTATGTTTTAGTCTCCACTAAAAACACAAAAATTATCTGGGCGTGGTGGCACGCACCCGTAATCCCAGCTACTTGGGAAGCTGAGGCAGGAGAATTGCTTGAACCCAGGAGGTGGAGGTTGCAGTGAGCCGGAATTGTGCCACTGCACTCCAGCCTGGGCAACAAGAGTGAAACTCCATCTCAAAAAAAAAAAGAAAAAGGAAAAGGAAAGAAAAGAACCGTGCATGGAGGCGATTGTGAAGCCAGGCTGGCTTTAACCAGCCTGGAAATTGCAGAATAGGTGTTGGTCTGCTCCTCTCCTTTGTCTGGGGAATGGCTGGCAGAGGCCTGGTCTGTGTGTCCTGAGGTCCCGCGGAGGCTGGGCCTGTGCTCAGACAGCCTGGATTCCAAGGAGCCTCGTTACATAATTGCCTGGGAATTTATCTGCCTTATCCATCTTCTTAGGTTATCAACCGGCTGGTGTCAGCTGTCTGGAAACTGGGTGGGGCCAGCACCTGCACTCTGTCCTAAATGGTCCCAAGCCGTAAGGGTCCCTTGGCTGTTGGATGTCCTCACCCATCCTGTGGGAGCATCCTCAGCAGCAGAGCCACCGTGTGTGGAGCCTTCACTGTGACACTTTGGGCAAGATCCTTTAAAACTCCCTGAGCCTCAGCTTCCCCAATTCTAAAATGGGACTAGTACAGCCCCTGCACTGCAGGTCAGTGGAGAGGATTCCATGCACTAATTCATGTAAAATGCAGTGCTTAGAACAGTGCCCGGCTTGCAAGAGGAGCTAAGAGCTTCTTGTCATCATTGTCATTTTTACCACGATATAGACAAGCAAGCCAAGGTCATAGAGGTTCAGGGGCCTGCCCAGGACTACGGAGGTGGCAGAGGAGCCCGAGTGCCAGTTTCTTTTCTTTTCTTTTCTATTTTATTTTTTGAGATGGAGTTTCACTCTTGTTGCCTAGGCTGGAGTGCAATGGTGCAATCTCAGCTCGCTGCGACATTCAAGTGATTCTCCTGCCTCAGCCTACCAAGTAGCTGGGATTACAGGGATGTGCCACCACACCCAGCTAATTTTGTGTTTTTAATAGTGACAGGGTTTCTCCACGTTGGTCAGGCTGGTCTCAAACTCCTGACCTCAGGTGATCTGCCTGCCTCGACCTCCCAAAGTGTTGGGATTACAGGTATGAGCCACCGCACCCTGCCTGAGTACCAGTTTCTAAAACAGGGAGACCTCAACTGCATCACAATTTCATCATTCAACAAATATTTTTTGTCTAGCCTCAGGCCACATCCCTGTTCACAATACTGCCCCCACCCCAACAGCTCACATTTATGGGCACTTGTCACATGCCAAGTTATTTGCTTATTTTACAGATGGGGAAACTGAGGCTCAGGGGTGTTAAGGGGCTTCTCCCAGTGCACACAGCAGGGAAGAGTCTAACTTGGTTAAATTCCCAGGCAGCAATCTCAAAGGCAGGCACATCCAGGTCCACATCTCAGCCCACCTCTACCCAGCTCACCTCTTCCCCGCCCGCCCCTTCCCAGCGCATCCAAGGGCTGAGATCTCAGATTTAGATGCAGGAGGCAGGGTGGGGGTTGATGGCTGACATATTTGTGTTTTTACCACCAGTTGGGTGCCTTAAAAACACCTGTATTCTCTCCCAGTTCAGGAGGTTAAAAGTCTGGAACCCAGGTGTTGGCAGGACCAAGCTCCCCCTGAAAGCCCAGGGGAGAACACTTCCTTGCCTCTTCCTAATTTCTGGTGGCTGCTGACAGTGGCTTTCCTTGGCTGGCAACCACATCAGTCCAATCTCTGTCTCTGTCTCATGTGGCCTTCTTTATTCTGTGGGTCCTTTCCTCCCAAGGACACCAGTCATTGCATGCGGGGCCCACCCTCATCCAGTATGACGTCATCTTCACTAATGGCACCTGCAAAGATTCTATTTCCAAATAAGACCATATTCTGAGATTCTAGGTGGATGTGAATTTTGGGGGACACTATTCAACCCACTAGAGGCAGGGTGGGAGGCTGGTAAGTTCTGTTGGCTTTGGGACTGGGGACCCCATGTGCATGGCCCAGTTAAGTCAAACAGGTATACCAGGTAGGGCTGGCAGGTCCACGGGTGCAGGGGCCTTGCAGAGCCCTGGGGTGGAGACTCCACCCAAGGCCCTGGGAGGCTGAGGCAGAGAGAAATTCAACAGCTCCACACCTGGGCCACAGAGGGGACTTGGCCAAGGCTTGGGGATCCCAGCAGACCCGGGCTCGAGATTCCAGCTCCGCATCTCTCCTCCCATTTTTCTCAGGACTGCCACACCCTCCCTCTCACCTCCTCCTGGCAGCCTCCCCCACCACCCTAGTTTGACTTGCTGCTAATCTGTGGCTCCATCTGCTAACTGGACAGTATGCAGAACAGCCCAGGAAAGGCTGGGGAGGTTTAGAAATTGACATCCCGTGACAGGCCTGGCCTTTGCCTCCGGGTTGGGTCTGTGCCTGGAGGGTGCGTAGGTCTTAAACTTGCTGTCAAAATCCGAGCCTGTGTTGCAGCACCCAGGACCAGTCCTCGGAGCCTGAGGCTATGGACCTTGATGTGGTCAGGACCAGAGCTTGGTCTCCCTCACGGCTCTCTGCCCTCAGCTTCCCCACCAGCTGAGCCGGGCTGCCCAGCCCACTTCTCAGGAAATTACATTTGAGAAAGTGCCTAGAAGAGTGTAGCACGTGGTGTGTTCATGAAGGCTTGTTATCACTGTTATCACTGTTAAGAAAATACAAGCATGCCAGGCTCAGTGGCTCACGCCTATAATCCCAGCACTTTGGGAGGCCGAGGTGGGTGGATCACTTGAGGTCTGGAGTTCGAGACCAGCCTGGCCATAATGGCAAAACCTCGTCGCTACTAAAAGTACAAAAATTAGGGCACCTATAGCGGTGGTGCACACCTATTGTCCCAGGTACTTGGAGGCTGAGGCAGGAGAATCACTTGAGCACAGGAAGTGGAGGTTGCAGTAAACCGAGATTGTGCCACTGCACTCCAGCCTGGGTGACAGAGCAAGACTCTGTCTCAGAAAAAAAAGAAAGAAAGAAAGAAAGAAAGAAAAGAAACAAGAAAATACGAGCAGAGATTTTTTTCCCAGAATGGAAAGGGAATGTTCGGGGCGTATCCTATTTATTGTTGAGGAGCCAGACAAATCAATTGGTGCATAATGATTGACCATGCCGTGAGGGCTGGTGGGGAGGGGAGTCCTGGTCTAGGATCTCAATGTGGATTAATTTATTTCACCAACATCCCTGACAGGTGAGGGCCGGGGCATGAGAACACAGCACCCTGCCCCGTTGGCCACCTGAAACTGATCCCGGGCTGGCCGACTCCAGAGCCCGCCACCTTGCCCCCGCCTTCCCCACCCTAAAGCAAGCCCTGGCCAAGTGCCCTCATGGCCTAGGCGCGGAACTGTTGAATTTCTTCTCTCTGCTTCCATCTCCCAGGGCCTCGGGTGGAGTCTCCACCCCGTGATCTTGGTTGCTTCCCTCTGTGTCCTCAGTCATGAGGCTTCTTCCTCTGTGCTGGAACGGGGGCTCTGAGGGGCCAAGGTCAGAGGTTGCTGCCCTCAGCCTCAGCCTTAGACAAGGGGCATGGGCCTGGAAGGAGGCCCAGGGGTCGTCTGATGCCCGCCCTCCCTCCCTGTCCCCCTCTCTCCCTCCCTCCTACAGGACCCTGCCATAGCCATCCCCAAGGGGACCCTCATGGCCATTTTCTGGACCACCATTTCTTACCTGGCCATCTCAGCCACCATTGGTAAGTGGCCAGCCCAGCCAGTCAGGAAGGGGAGGGACCTGGTCTCCACCGTGCGGTGTCCAAACCCCAAACCACCGGAGGGGATCAGAGGGTGGGGTTTGACTCTCTAACAGGGAGAGCTGGGCTGGGAGGGTGTGGTGACCTCAGGATGTGGAACCTTGAACCTGTCTCTGGGTTGTCTTGGCAATGATCAGAGTATCTTCATGGCAGTGGATGTGGCAGGGTCAGACCAGGCTCCTTGGGTTCCTTGAGGGTCCAGGTTCATGAGTGTGAAGATCCTACAGGACAAATCCTGCTCCAACCCCAGGAGTGATGATGATGGTGATGATACCCGCAACTGACTCGTCACGTGCCCAGCCCTTTTCATGCCAATCCCATCACTGTCATTTTCCCTGTTTCACCAAGGAGAAAACAGGAGCTCAGAGAGGTTAAATGACCTTCCTGGGGTCACACAGCCACTGAATGGTGGAGCCGGGCTTTGAGCCCAGGCCTGGGCTGTTAACACCTGCCTTGAACTGAGATCCTCACAGGTGCACTTGCTCCCAGAGGTCCCCTTTGAGGCAAGCTGTTCACAAATGGCCAAGGGACTTGGTCCAGCTTATCTCAGGAGGACATTGTGATCTTGGTCGCTTAAGCTCTCTGGGCCCCTGTAAAATGGCAACGACAACAAAAGTGATAGCGACGCCTGCTCATAGGTTGTTGTAAAGTACTTAGCATGGCGCCGGGCACACCGTCAGCATGCCGCCATTGTCATCATCCCCGCGTGATGAAGCGGGGGCTGCCCCATCCTCTGCAGTGTCTCACCCTCTGCAGAGGTGGGGCTGGAAGAGGACCAAGTAAGGAGGGAAGGGACATCTCCCCATGCTCTCCTTCCCCCTCTCAGGCTCCTGCGTGGTACGCGATGCCTCTGGGGTCCTGAATGACACGGTGACCCCCGGCTGGGGTGCCTGTGAGGGACTGGCCTGCGGCTATGGCTGGAACTTCACTGAATGCGCCCAGCAGCACAGCTGCCGCTATGGCCTCATCAACTATTACCAGGTACCGCCAGGAGGGCTGACCCAGCAGACACCGTGGGGGCTGGGTGGAGGCTGCAGGGCCCCTTGCAGGCCTGGAAATTTCTGGGGGGACTAGTTTGGGGAGCTGAGTCCTAGGCTTAGGGGATAGGGGTTCAGAGCCAGGTCTGTCCTGTCCCGGCCTGTGAGCGGACCCTGGGATCTCCGGGGGTGGGTTGTAGACTCAGATGGAGGCTCAGGGCCCAGCCCCTGCCTGCAGTAAGGAATGAGGTGCCACAGTTGGGGGCTTCTGGCTCAGCCCCCACCATGGAGTCCCTGATCCCCAAATCCCTGCAGACTATGAGCATGGTGTCAGGCTTCGCGCCCCTGATCACGGCCGGCATTTTTGGGGCCACCCTCTCCTCTGCCCTGGCCTGCCTTGTCTCTGCTGCCAAAGTCTTCCAGGTGAGGCCACAGAAAGGGATCAAGATGATGGGGGGTGGGAAGCCTGGGCCAGAGGCACAATAGGCTGGGACCCTGGGTGACTGCTATAAAGACCTGGAGGTGTCATTAGACCGGGATCTCTAGCCAGAAGGGAAAAGGAGCTATCAGCAAACTCTTGAAGGAAGCAGCCCCTTCCCGGCAGTGTGACTTGAATAACACCTGCAGTCGCCACCCCAAACTCCCACCTGTGCCACCTGCATCCTGTCCGCAACTCTACCTTTCAAGCTGTACCCAGAGCCACCAACCCACCTGGTCATGCCCTTTTACTATCTTCATGGTAGAGTGGGGAGAGCGGAGGAGGGCTGATCACCCCTGTTTAACAGAAACAGACACCAGGATCCAGGTTGGGGAGGGCACCGAGCTGGTCTGGAGCTCAGGTGGCCCCAGGGGAGGGGAAGTGGCAGTTCCCAGCCTGGGGGTGAGCGCGGCATCTGGTGCTGCAGTGCCTTTGCAAAGACCAGCTGTACCCACTGATCGGCTTCTTCGGGAAAGGCTACGGCAAGAACAAGGAGCCCGTGCGCGGCTACCTGCTGGCCTATGCCATCGCCGTGGCCTTCATCATCATCGGTAAGGTGCTGCTGGGGCTCACAGGGCCTGGCCTCCTGTTCCCCTGGGTGGCCCTGAGGGTCATGGGGGCCGGGCTCTTCTCCCGCCTCCTCATCTCCCCGCCCCAGTGCCCTGCTAGGTGTGATAGTTAGTGGGCACTCAGAGGCTAAGTCTTGAGGGGTGAGGCCCCACCTGGGAGGAGACATCGGGGGGGCCATGTGATCCTTCCCCTTCCCACCTCCAGGCAGGGTGGCTCCCAAACCAGGTCAGGCAGCAGAGCCTTCTGCTTTGTGAGAAGGGAACCTACCTGTTCTCCCAGTCTGCTAGCATCCCCGCCCCGGGTCTAAATGAACCCCCAGAACGCCTTCAGAGCATGGGACAAGCTGACTGGTCCCTCCTTGGGATGGGATACAAATGGCTGGTCAGTATCCTCATAGGTATATGAACTAGACAAACCCAGTTCCTCAGACCTCGGACTTCTAGACCCCTTGGGTTTCAAGGTGGAAGATGCCTTAGGAGAAAAGGGCACCGTTAATTGGTTCATTAGATCTACTTCCTATCCAGGCTTTGCCACGTGCCAGCTGTGTGACCTTAGACAAGTTACTTCACCTCTCTGAGCCTCACCTTTTTCATCTACAGAATGGGAGCAATAGTGCATAACAGGTGTATCTCAGAAGGGCAGGAAGAGACCACGTGTGCAGGAACACCTACATGCATTCATGCACGCACACACTCTCACATGTGCACACACCCGACGCTTCCCTCATTAACTTAGCCGTGGCAGCAGAACTCGCTAGGAGAGAGGTGGCCATGCCAAGCATGGGCAGTGGCCAGGCTGCGACATGATGGCCCCCGGCCCCCGCTCCTTGTGCAGGAGTGGGGTGGGGGGTAGACTGCTGGCCAGCCTCCCTGGGCTCATGACACCCTCCTGCCACCAGTGACTCCGTGCTGTTCAGGCTGGCATCACAGTCCATGAGATTTGCTTAGTCACTATTGCCCAAGGGAAGCTTTCCAGACACCAGGCACTACCGGGTCCTGAACCACATGGAGAGGTGGCAGGGATGGAAAAGTCTGTTCAGACTTGGTGTTCCCTGGCCCTGTGTCTGCGTCCTGCTCTCCGGGGCCCAGAAACACATTTCCCTGCAATGCACCCTGATTTAGATTCGATGTCCTTTCATCTGGGTGGGTCTGACTTGACTTCAGACTGAGGACCATGATCTCAGATGCTTCGGGCAGGGTTCTCAGGTGATTACATGAAATCGTGGACAGAGGGCCTGGCACATTGGTGCGTATAATGTTTTGGGATCCCCAGAAGCAGGCCCTGAGACAAGGATTCATATGTAAACGTTTATCTGGGGTGCTGGGGACAGTGGCAGGGGAGGGGAACAGGGAGACGGGAGTGGAAGCAGTTCTTGGGTGGGTTACCACTGGGGTGGAGCTGTGTTACGGCCTTTGGTGTCCGGAGTCACATTGCAAAATGTATTTCTGGCCGGGCGCAGTGGCTCACGCCTGTAATCCCAGCACTTTGGGAGGCCAAGGGGGCGGATCACTTGAGTTCAGGAGTTTGAGACCAGCCTAGCCAACACCGTGAAACCCCGTCTCTACTAAAAATACAAAAAAAATTAGCCGGGAGTCGTGTCACATGCCTGTGGTCCCAGCTACTCGGGAGGCTGAGGCAGAAGAATTGCTTGAACCCAGGAGGTGGAGGTTGCAGTGAGTCGAGATTTCGCCACTGTACTCCAGCCTGGTAACAGAGCAAGACTCCGTCTAAAAAAACAACACCACCACCAAAAAACAAAAACAAAAACAAAAATTTGCTGGGCGTGGTGGTGCATGCCTGTAATCCAAGCTACTAGAGAGGCTGAGGCAGGAGAATTGTTTGAGCCTGGGAGGCAGAGGTTGCAGTGAGCTGAGATTACGCCACTGGGCAATGAAGCAAGACTCCATCTCAAAAAAAAAAAAAAAGTATTTCTTACTGTAATTGTGGTCAAAACAGTGTGACAGCCACTACTCTTGATCATCCCATAGCCTGAGGGGGTCTACTCTCACACTGCCCCCACCAGTGTCTTAAAAGCTGGGTGCTTACAGTTTGCACCATCCCTTTGAGCTTCACAAAAGGATAGACCCATTTCACAGATGAGAAGGTTGAGACTGTCTGAGCCTTCGTGACCTGTCTGGGGTCCCCCACTCTGGGAAGGAGGGTGCCAAGCCACTCCTTGGCGGAGTTGCCCAACAGGCTGTCCTCTCTCTCCCTGGGTCCCTGAAGCTGAGCTCAACACCATAGCCCCCATCATTTCCAACTTCTTCCTCTGCTCCTATGCCCTCATCAACTTCAGCTGCTTCCATGCCTCCATCACCAACTCGCCTGGTAAGCAAACCCTTCACCTCACTTCAGGAGGAGGCACCCAGGGGCTGGGGGGTACTGGAGCCTGGGGTGGGAGTGGGAGGCATGGGTGGAGGTCAGCAGCCCACGATCACCTCTCAAATTAAAACCTATGAAAGGGAACGTTAATCTAGTAATAGTGGCTCTCGGCCGGGAGTGGTGGCTCACACCTGTAATCCTAGCACTTTGGGAGGCCGAGGTTGGTGATCACTTGAGGTCAGAAGTTTGTGACCAGCCTGGCCAACATGGTGCAACCCTGTCTCTACAAAAACACAAAAATTAGCCGGGTGTGGTGGCGGATGCCTGTAATCCCAGCTATTCAGGAGGCTGAGGCAGGAGAATCACTTGAACCCGGGAACAGGAGGTTGCAGTGAGCCAAGATCATGCCATTGCACTCTAGCCTGGGCAACAGAGCAAGACTCCATCTCAAATAGTAATAATAGTGGCTCTGACAGTGTACACTTTACATGAATTCATATGTTGTTTACCATCTGTAGGGGTTTTCCAGTCTTTTCCTTCCCCAGTTTTACAGGAATCAGGAGTCTGATTCCTTAGAGAAACAATTGCCCAAAGTTACAGCTAGGGCTGTCATGTACAGTGCTACAGGTTGCACACTGCACAACTCTAGAAGGCACGATTCATATCATATTATTTCACACATTTGCATATGTATGATGGAAAACTTCTGGCAGATGGCAATAAAGTCTTGAGGAAGACTTTTTCTAACTAGTTCCAAATTGCCATTGCCTTTTACCAGGCCACCTTTCACATAGACCCCAGTGTGCATGATGGCCCTGGAGGTGAGCCATGAGGCGGCTATCACTCATGGCAGCCCTAGCCTGGCCTGCTGGTGAGGAGCCAGGCAGAATCAAGCCCTTCCACCTCCATCTCACCCCCTTGGCACCATGGGAGCTGGTGCTGTTGCTGGCGTGGGGTGTCCTGTGGCTGTATTTGGCCAGAGCTGGACACCCACTCCTTGGCACAGCCTGGGCACATGGTGAAATGCCAGCCAAGATGGGTGTGTGGTTTGCCTCAGAGCCTGCAGACCCAGCCCCGGGAGGAGGAGTGGCTGGTGCTCATGGCTGGTGGGTACATGTTGTGACCCTGGCTCTGGGCACTGCTGGCATTACTGCCAGGCCCTGCCCAGCAGCTCTGGCCTAGAAAGAGGCTCCAGAGTGCCAGGACTGCCCACTGACTGGTGCTCTCGGCCCAGGGTGGAGACCCTCATTCCAATACTACAACAAGTGGGCGGCGCTGTTCGGGGCTGTCATCTCCGTGGTCATCATGTTCCTTCTCACCTGGTGGGCAGCCCTCATCGCCATCGGCGTGGTGCTCTTCCTCCTGCTCTATGTGATCTACAAGAAGCCAGGTGTGCGTCCCAGCTGCGGGGCCGCGGCCCTCCTCCCCCAGGGTAGCCACCCAGGCGGTACTGCCCTCCGCCCCCACTAGAGGGCTCTAAGTCGGGCTCTGTGCTATCTAGGGCCCCTCTCTGGCCCCCGCCCTCGTCCCTCCCCATGTGGCAAGGAGCCCCAAGGGATGTCCCCACTCAGGTCCCATGCCCCAACTTCTAAGCCACCCCTGGGCACTCAGGACCTTGGAATCTCTGCCCAAAGGACCCTGAGTGAGCTTCCAGAGCCCGCCCCTGCCTCTTCCCTAGGGCTGTCCCCCAGGAGGGGCTGGCTGGCTACTGTGCACACCTAGGCCTCGGGTGGCCGAGGGCTGCTGTGTGGTTGCAGGCAGACAAAGCTTGGACTCTGGGCAGGGGCTCTACTTGGCTGCAGGCAGGGACCCTGGGGTGGCAGTGACCTGAGGGCAGGAAGCAGGACTCTGAGAAGGCCTGGGATTCTAAGTCTCAACCTGGGCGTCTAGGCCATTGCAAAGATTTGGCAAAGCAGGAGGATACTGTGTGGAGCTTGATGTATAACTTTTTTTGTGGGGGGTTGGGAGGCAGATTCTCACGCTGTTGCCCAGGCTGGACTGCAGTGGCACAATCTCGGCTCACTGCAACCCCCACCTCCCGGGTTCAAGCAATACTCCTGCCTCAGCCTCCCGAGTAGCTGAGATTATAGGTGCCCGCCACCACACCTGGGTAACTTCTGAATTTTTAGTAGAGATGGGGTTTTACCATGTTGGCCAGGCTGGTCTCGAACTCCTGACCTCAGTGAGCCTCTCACCTCGGCCTTCCAAAGTGCCAGGATTACAGGCATGAGTCACTGCGCCCGGCCTCAATGTGTCACTTTTCAGTGTGCAGTCACATGGTCCGCAGGCCTCCATCCTGCAGGCTGCCCACCCCAGGTGGCCCTGCTCCCACGGATGCTGGGTGCCTAGAGAGGACTGACATTGCCCCCATGTGTCTGGTTTCTTCTGGTGATTCCTAACACTGCTCTTAACCCACTGCTCCCTTGCTCCCCCAGAGGTAAATTGGGGCTCCTCGGTACAGGCCGGCTCCTACAACCTGGCCCTGAGCTACTCAGTGGGCCTCAATGAGGTAGAAGACCACATCAAGAACTACCGGTGAGCAGAGCTGCTGGGACCCACCTAAGACCCGGGGGCTGGTGATGGCCCCACCCTGGGAGTTTCCAAGCCTAGACCTGTCACCTGCCCTGGACAGACCCACGGTGTACGCGGCCCCCACTCAGAGAGGGAACAGAGGTGGCGGAGCCACCCAGGCGCCATGAGACAGGAGTGGACATATCATGATGGGGACCAGGCCAGTCAAGGGACCTCTCTGTGCCTCAGTTTCCACAGTGGAAGCATCTCTGTTGTGGAGGCAATTGGTGTTGCAGTTCCCCTCACAGTATCTTGGGGGTGGATGGTGTGAACCTCTCCTGAGTACCCTTCAAAGCTGATTCCCCTCTTTGTCGAGGAGAATTATGCACCTGCCATCCCCTTCCCGCCAGATTCTAGTAATTATCAACAATATCTGTTTATGTCATGCTTACTATGAGCCAGGCACTTGCAAAGTACCTCACACAGCCTTAGGACAACCGGCTGAGGTCCAGGAAATTACTAACCCAGTCATGGACAAGGACACTGAGGCACGGAGAGGTTAAGTAATTGGCCCCAGGTCACACAGCTGGTGAATGGCCGATTAAGTCTGGCTCCAGTTGACTCAGGTCGTGGCCCTTGACCACTGCCCTCTGCTGCCTCTTGACGCAGAGGCTGAGTCACCTGCCTGGGTAACTGGTGAGTTTGTAAGTGACAGGCTTCCTCACTCCCAGGCTTTGTTCTTCCCATCTCCGTGCTAGGCTAGGCCGGGCAGGGGAGAAGCAGTGGGGGGAGTGTTTGGTGGCCTGAGCAGGAAGGACCAGGGAGACTAGTCCTTTTGGAGGCCACCAAAAGAGTGGGAAGGGCCCTAAAAGTCACCCTGGGTTTATAGGCAGGAAGTCAAGGCCCCAAGCACCTAGGGTCATGTTGGTGGCCACATCGCTGTTCAGGGAGCCTGGGTGGTGCCTTTTGCACCCAGCCTCCTGTGGGCTCTCTCCTGATGGCTCCTGTCCTTTTCTCTTCCCTCCTCAGCCCCCAGTGCCTGGTGCTCACAGGGCCCCCAAACTTCCGCCCAGCGCTGGTGGACTTTGTGGGCACCTTCACCCAGAACCTCAGCCTGATGATCTGTGGCCATGTGCTCATCGTGAGTGACCCCAGGAGGGGCGTAGGGCAGTACTCCTGGGGGAGCCGTCTGGGTGTGATGTCCACCCACGGGGTGGTGGTCGAGGCGATACAGAGCAAGGGGCGCCCAGCCAGGCCCCCCACGGACCCGTTCTCTCCCCTTCCTGGTCTCTCTTGCTGGCTTCTCCCCCAGCTGCTCTGCCTCTTTCCTGCTCCCTACCTCTCCCTTCTTCCCCTCTTTCTCCACACTCCTTGTCCTTCCCTTAAATGATCAAAGGAAAGGGGCACCATGGATGCTGCTGAGCCCCTGGGGCAGCCTCCAGGACAGGAGAGGGGCTGAATCTCAGGCCGGAGGCTGAAGGCAGCTGGCAGTGTCCCCTGCCCCTTCCACCCACAGGGACCCTCCAAGCAGAGGATGCCTGAGCTCCGGCTCATCGCCAGCGGGCACACCAAGTGGCTGAACAAGAGGAAGATCAAGGCCTTCTACTCCGACGTCATTGCCGAGGACCTCCGAAGCGGTGCCCAGATTCTCATGCAGGTGCCATGGGCTGGGGGCTCCCCTACAGGACTTATGACTCGGGGAGACAAGCTGGAAGGCAGAAAGTCCTGCGCACCCCTTTGCTTAAGCCCCTTTTGCTGCAGAAAAAGCCCTGACTTTTTTTTTTTTTGAGACTTGTTTGCTCTTGTTGCCCAGGCTGGAGTGCAATGGTGTGATCTCAGCTCACTGCAATCTTCGCCTCCTGGGTTCAAGCGATTCTCCTGCCTCAGCCTTCTGTGTAGCTGGGATTACAGGCACACGCCACCGCACCTGCTTAATTTTTTTGTATTTTTAGTAGAGATCGTGCCACGGCACTCCAGCCCGGGTGACATGATGGCACTCTGTCTCAAAAAAAAAAAAAAGGAAAAAAAAAGAGAAACGTAAATGATGTGTGGATTAGATGACCCGGTAATACGCCAAGCGGGGCATCCAAACTCAAGTCTCTTGTGGGAAATTAATTTGTTAGAGAAGTAGGAGCTGGGGTCAGCTGCAACCATGGGACACTATAGTCCTCGGCCAAGGATTGAGAAGCCATGGCGGGCAGCTTTGTCTGCAGTTTCACCTTTCTTCTGGGTGTGTCCAGGCAGACAGGACCCCAAATAGGGGGATGCATCTCCTGACCCCCCAAAGCTTGGATGGGAGGGTGGCTGGGGCTGAGACAGAGCCCCACCCTAGTCATAGAGCACAGCCCTTTCCGGACCTAAGGCCTGATCACTAACTGCCCCTCTGACGGGTCATCTCACCTCTGTCCCCTGGCAGGCCGCAGGTCTCGGGAGAATGAAGCCCAATATTCTGGTGGTCGGGTTCAAGAAGAACTGGCAGTTGGCTCACCCAGCCACAGTGGAAGACTACATTGGCATCCTCCAGTGAGTTGGGGGAGGGGAAGGGGCTTGGGGTCTGTTAATTCGGGCCATTGGGCCTTGAGCAGTGGAGAGGAAGTAGTGGGTGCTTGAAATGTTGAGTCCTGCTGGGCAGAGTGTCTGGCATCTGTAGTCCCAGCCACTTGGGAGGCTGAGGCAGGAAGCCCACTTGAGCCCAGGAGTTGGAGGCTGCAGTGAGTGATGATCGCACCGCTGTACTCCAGCCTAGGTGAAAGAGCAAGACCCTGGCTTTGAGAAAGAAGTTCAATCCATTCGTTCAAAGCTGAAGAAGAAACAGGCTGAGGCTGAAAATGCCCTTCTCTGACGTATGAGTCAGGGACGCCAGAGCCGGCAGGGATCAGGCAGGCAGCACCAAAAGTGCAGTGGGCCGGGCGTGGGATGATAGGGAGCAGTGGAGACTGTGGTAACCCCAGGGAGAGTGGCTGCTACTTGGCTGTAGCACAAGCAGAATACGCTCTAGTGCCCAAGCAGAAATGTGAGCCCAATATTGCCAGATCTTTTAATTTTTCAGAGTAACTGCAAATGTGAGTTTTTCGGTGAAAACCTCATGCCTCCCTGTGGGCTTCAGAAGGCACACAGGTAGCCAGCTCGAGCTCTGAGTCTGGCCAGGCATGGTGGCTCACACCTGTAATCCCAGCACTTTGGGAGGCCAAGGCAGGTGGTTCACAAAGTCAGGAGTTCGAGACCAGCCTGACCAACATAGTGAAACCCCGTCTCTACTAAAAATACAAAAAATTAGCCGGGTATTGTGGCACACACCTATAATCTCAGCTACTCGGGAAGCTGAGGCAGGAGAATCGCTTGAACCTGGGAGGCAGATGTTGCAGTGAGCTGAGATCGTGCCACTGCACTCCAGCCCGGGTGACACTGAACAGGGAAGTGAAACCAAGCCCTGAGGACCAAACTCCCTGGGATGTCCGGGCTGACTCCAAAGTCTTCTTCAGCTTGTGCTGTGTGAGGTCCAGAGAATGCCTGCCTGATGTGTGGCTTTTCTGTGTTGATGTCGTCGTGTGTGGTGTCAGTGAACAGCATGAGGCTGAGGGTCGGGCGGGCCCTTGGGACCCGCTTCCAGATATGCTGTTAAGCAGCTGTCGGACTCGGAGCAATCCTCTCGGTTGCTGCTAACAGAATTACAGCAGCAGTTGGTAGAATACCTGGTCTCCAGCCACCCTCCAACATTCCAACAAACTTCAAAAAGCGGGGCCTGAAAGGTCCTTGTCCCAGAGATAATGTGATTTAAGGAGCCCAGAGAGGGCAGCACGCAGCCCATTGGCCCAAACCCCAGTGGTGGGTGGGCTCTTGGGCACTGTGTCAATCAGGCAGTTCATACACCTTTGGAACAAGAGTCTTCCAGACGTCTTTATTTAATTATTTTATTTACTTATTGAAATGGAGTCTTGCTCTGTCTTAACCCAGGCTGGAGTGTGGTGGCGAAATCTTAGCTCACTACAGCCTCCACCTCCTGGGTTGAAGCAATTCTCCTGCCTCAGCCTCCGGAGTAGCTGGATTACAGGTATACTCCACCACGCCCAGCTCATTTTTGTGTTTTTAGTAGAAATGGGGTTTTGCCATGTTGGCCAGGCTGGTTTCAAACTCCTGACCTCAGGTGATCCACCCGCCTTAGCCTCCCAAAGTGCTGGGATTACAGGCATGAGCCACCGTGCCCAGCTTTTGCAATTTATTTTATTTTATTATTTTATTTTTATTTTTGAGACAGAGTCTCATTCTGTCGCCCAGGCTGAAGTGCAACAGCGTAATCTTGGCTCACACCACAACCTCTGCCGCCCAGGTTCAAGTAATTCTCCTGCCTCAGCCTCCTGAGTAGCTGGCACTACAGGCGTGCTCCACCACGCCCAGCTAATTTTTGTACTTATTTTTTTTTTTTTTTGAGAC